TATATATATATATATATATATATATATAATATATATACTATATATATATAATATATATACTCCAAAGGGCTTTAATTACAAAAATGGGTTATAAAAAATGCATACAGGTATAAATCCACTCAAAAACCTGTATTCAATACAAAGTTTACATTTTACAAACCAATCATCCTTATTGCTCTATTTTAGGAACATTACGAAATGATGATTTCAGCTAAAACTAAAAAAATGTCAGTGAATTTTTTTTTTTACTTTTCTGTTTTCTCATGTAAAGTATAATTTACACACAAACTAAAACTTTTTTAGTTTTATCAAGTAAAGTAAACTATCATTTACACACAAACGTTTGTAAACCAGACTTAGTGTGTTTATTTAGAAAGTAAGTTATTTATCAAGATTCTGTCTATCTTTCGATCCAAATAGACAGAACAATTCTTTAAACCAATTACCTTTTTGATGAGAAATAGAGAGAAAGAGAGAGAAATGGAGAGAGTTAATGTATATGCCAATGCTTTACTGCACATTTGTATCATCACGATTGAGCAAAACACAAGCTCTTCTTTATCACTCCATGACTTTTCATCTGATACTGCGCCGTGATTCTATAATTCCAACTTTGTCATTTTTGTCACAATTGTATTTTCATATAATTCACAATGTTTTAAAAATAGCTGACAAGTTAACACAATATTTTTTTTTGTCAGTTCTTGCTTTCCCTGGGTTTTGAACCCATTACCTTTGCATTGTTTACGCAATGGTCTACCAACTGAGCCACAGCTGATGTTCCTGTACATTTTAGCACAAGGAGGGGTGTTGTGTTAATAACTCTTCAGTGTGATTCTAGACGATTGAACTCCATCCATCGAGCTCTGAAATCCATCCATGACTGAAATGTCGACCTCATCACATGAACTTTGCATGATTTTTCCTTTATCTCACAGATTTGATCTGTGAAAGTAGAATAGAAGACCCTGGTTTCTGGCCTGCAGGCTGGTGGAAACTTGCCTGAGGTGTGAGTCTGACTCCTTTTAATCCATCGCTCTCCATTTACTTTTTCACCAACAGTTGTTTATAGATCCACACCAAATGTTTGCACGACTCCTGACTGCACTTCTCGAGTGCTGTATGTTTAACTTTGCTTACACTTCCAGATTAGCTCATTTACGAGACAAAGCTTCATTAGATTGTTTTAACACATGGGGACATTTTAAGAGCCGTGTTTGCTTGTTTTTTCCTATTGCCGGATTGTTTAGGGTGCTGAATACACGAAAGAGAAATGATGGCGTATTGATTTTGAAGCTGTGGGATTAATGCCTGTTATGAGATGCCGATGTGGTACGTTGAAAGTTTATGCTGTCGCATGGATCAGCAGCAAGATATTGATTGTGAATCTTAGGACTCTGCACTCGAGGCGTTGCATAAGAGAACGGGAGAATAGGAATTTAATTGTTTATGGACAGTCGCTGCTTCAGGATGTCTGATTTATATGAATATTTGAATTATGGTTGTATGAGCTTCATTAAATGGGATGGTTTCGGGGGTTTTATGTTGAAATACGTTGGGCTGATGAATGCCTGACATCGATTGGTTGAGCAAAACTCTTCATGTTTTCATTTAAATCTAGTTCCTGCGTTAGTCATATATAGAGGCTTTTACACCATATTCAAAAGGTTTAAATTAATTCTAGCTCAAAAGTGCAAAATTAATTGGAAACTGGTGGTTTGGATGCATTCTATTTATTCTACAGATAAAATATTTTTATTTCCAAGACATACCAGAGCTCGTCAGTATTACTGTCTCATGATTGAATGTTCACTTTTTAAATATAGCCCCTCAAAAGCATGCTTGGAATCCAGGTTCATTTGAGTTTGGAATGAGGCTGTTTGGATCCGTACCCTAACATCAGCAGATGTGGAGATTATTCAAAGACAACAGCTTTAAAGTGTGAAGGGCAAGCGCGTGTCTTGATTTAAACCTTACATGGATCTTGGACTGGAGCTTTGTATTAATATTCAGCCTTGGTTTGTTCACACGCCCTCTTGAATCGTTCGGCCTCTGCCCTGCATCAGCTCATATATGCTGCAAAAGTCCCACACAAATAGAAAAATTATGTGCCTACCTTCAGCAACCTGAACCAAACAACTGGAGGCTATGAATTGTAAATGGATGAACGTGTTCAGGTGTTGGTCTTTAGGTGCATTCACAGAATCTCCAGCTCGTGAATAAATATTTTCTTTTACAAACAACGCATAATTTCACCACTTTTTAATACAATTTGGTTAGTTAAGTAATAAAATGCTAATGCTCTGATGCGACATGCATGTCCAAAAGAGGAGACAACGCCATGACGCAAGTAAATATTGACGTGAACGCTCTGCTAGTGGTTTTGTGGCTTTTTATTCGAGACAACTTCACTATAATCAAATAATTTTAAGGAAGACGATTGTGAGGAAAGAGACCAACACAAGTTGCTTTACCAATGCAGTCTTTATTGTACCTCTTTACATTCTGAGTGCCTCCTTGTATCAAAATCACTGCAAAACAGCCTTTTCCACAACTTCTAATGAGGAGAAATTGCTTCTGAATGGGGATTGATGATGAAAAGGTCAGGGACAGGTCATTCAGACACAGGTCGCTTTTGAAAAAATCGTACCTGTTTTGGAGCCCAACAAAAATTTGGAATTGTGCTTTCAGACTCGGATACTGGTCGTTTAGGGGTGAAAAATCGGATTTTGGTCACATTGGGATGCAGTGTGATTGTAGCCTTATTCAAGGAATCTGACAAACATGTTTTTAAAGTTACTTTTATCCATTTTTAAGTGTCTTTGCCGAGTGGCACCATACACCTTTCTGAGCTTATGAGTTCATGTAGCCCCCCTAGGTTGCTACTTATGGTACCTAGAGTGGCCAATAGGTAGACAGGGCCTTTTCTTTTGCAGCGCCAAACTTTGAAATGCGCTATACATCCGGCAAGCTCCCACTCTGCAACAATTCCAAACTCTTAAAAACTGAGGCAGCCGGTCGCACAGACTCACCAAAGTTGGAGACTGCTCTGATGAGTCTCGTTTTCTGCTGCAACATTCGCATGGTAGAGTCAGAATTTGGCGTCAACAACATGAAAGCATGGATCCATCCTCCTTTTATCAACAGATCAGGCTGGTGGTGGTGTAATGGTGAGAGCGATCTGTTCTTTGGGCCCATCGTGTCAACTCCAGAGCCTACCTAAGTGTTGTTGCTGACCATGCCTATCCCTTTATCACCATAGTGTACCCATCTTCGGATATTGTGCCATGTCATAAAGCACATATCATCTCAGACTGGTTTCTTGAGCATGACAATGAGTTCAATGTACTCAAATGGGCTCCACAGTCACCAGATTTCAATATAACAGAGCCTCTTTTGGATGTGGAGGAACAGAGAACCTTCATTTGCATTAAATTCATTATGCCATCATGTCAATATGGAGCAAATGCTCTGAGGAATGCTCTTTGCCATAAGGGATTGAAGCTGGTGACTCCATAGATGCTGGATAAAAAGCATTTAATAAAACGTTGCGTTTAAACCTCTAATGCTTTTCAACATTTTCCACTCCTTCTGACCCCATTAGAAAGCTGCTCTTCCTCTGCGAGAGACACTTTTTCAATATTAGGGGTCACTGACCACCAGGAGAAAATAAAAAGAACTTTTCCTGTTCTCTGACTCGGTCTATGTGTCCTGAAGCTCTGGGTCACTGTCTATCTGGGGCTTCCTCTCACTGACTCCTTTTCAAATTTCATATCTGGTTATTTTGCATAACACTCGAACCGTTATCCCCCCTCTCCTCATCCACCCTCCCACATAGACATACCAGTAGACATCGAGCAGAAAAGGAGAGGGGCAGGATTTGAGATGGCTGCTTAATAATTCAGATATCTGTGAAAGGGCAGGAGTCTGCTAGTGAGCCAAGCTGACATTCAGCCAGTTATTGAGCGCTGGCCGCTGGCAGCCGTGTGTGTCCAGCCGTTTCCCTCTGTGCGTCTGGGACATTAGAGTGGAAGATTGATCTGCCGTATTGTGTTAATGTAACTCTTACCTATAGACTCGGCAGTGGGCACCATCTCTGAGTGTGATCACTGTTTTCCTGACGAGCATGGTTTCTGCTGCACACTCTGATGCTCGGTTAGCTGGTTAAAGGCAGATTTTGAGCAAATCTGTTTGTTTGTTTGTTTGTTTGTTTGTTTTTCACTTCTGAACACTTTCAGTGAATATGATCTGACTTCTTAATAAATGCTAAAAAAATAAATGCTTTTGATTAATAAAAGTAGATGAATAATTGATTTTAAATATAGTCTTTCTACTACTACTGCTACTGATTTTGCTGCTGCTAGTTCTTTTTATTACTGCTGCTGCTCATTTATTATTACTTCTATTGCTGCTACTGCTAGTACTTTTTATTACTGCTGCTAATGCTTATACCAGGACTAATTGTACTGCTGCTACTGCTAGTACTTTTTATTACTACTGCTAATGCTTATACCAGGACTAATTGTACTGCTGCTACTGCTAG